GATTCGGTGTCCAGCCCTAAAGACGACGACGGTTACCCAGAGATACTGAGAAGCAAGAAGACAGCTAAATGAACTGCTATTAATTAACTGCTATAAATGTACCCCCCTTCATGAACGAAGAAGACAGCTAATGAATTTCTATAATTAACTGCTATAAAGACCCACCTGATTCGGTGTCCTGCCCTAAAGACAACGACGGAAAACCAGAGTACGGGGAAGCAAGAAGACTGCTAATGAACTGCTATTAATTAACCGCTATAAATGTAATCCAGCTCTAAAGACAAGGACGGAAAGCCAGAGATACTGTTAAGCAAGAAGACTGCTAATGAACTGCTATTAATTAACTGCCGCAAGAAGACAGCTAATGAATTGCTATTAATTAACTGCTACAAAGAAGACAGCTAATGAACTGCTATTAATTAACTGCTATATAGGTACCCCCCACTCATGGGGGAAGCTGAAGTCAAAGTTTAAGTTCTAATGATAAATATCATAAAGCTTGCCATTTGAAAAAATGTTCTCCCCACTTCGTTGAGTACTCTTAAATTTGGAATAAGTATATGAAGGCACACATCCAGCAACATTTATGCTTAGAGCAAGATGTTCAAGCTAGGAGGACTGAGGGGGTGTTCGAACACAATACTATCGGCTATTTATATACATGCATCTTAAATATGGATGATTTCGAAGCCATCACCACAGTGAGCATATTGGAAAAATTTGGGTTGATTTAGATAACGCTCAAGGCGCCATGTTGAAACATGCAATATCAGCCGATGTTATGAGGGTAGCACCACGATGGAGCCTATTTGAATGACAGAACCAAATTTTTGTGTTATTTTTTTCGCATTTGTGCTGATAAAATTACATTGAAAGCCCTAGATTTTGAGATTCAAATAAAATAGAAACCTGACTATATTGGCATTAAATCATGCAAACTGATGCAACCTTTTGATAGTTTTTAATTTAAATACATCGATTTCTTCGCTGAATTATTAACCTCGACAAATCTTTAGTGAGTCTTTTACCGCAAAATAACCCCCATCACACTCCCCTTTTTTAGTAATGTTATGATTTTATTTAGGACAATAGAGGACCCTCAGTGAGGGCTCAACAAAGACCAATTTCACACTCTTCAATCTACCTATAGATCAGTTCTGAATTTGGTGGAAATGAGCCACAAAAATAAGTAATTTCTTAATTTTGAGCACTGGAGCAAACTTAAATTAAAATGCAAGAACTCTAATAAGTAAAAGCAAATCGAACGCAATAGGACCTGTGGAGAACTTAGCGCTAACAAGACTGAACCAAATAATCTCATGAGCAATAAAGCAATTTGGAAGGAGAACTCTACTCATCCTGTAGTCATCACGTGCGGCTGTGATACTGATCCCACTAGGGAGAAAAGGAGGCCACGAATGAAGAGGCCTCTTAGCCAATCAATATTCACTAGTCACGACATGGTCAACGTAGCCGAAATTGTATAATGATTAAGCTCCGTGTCAGTGACCTCTATTTCCTCAATACGGGGTGCGCAATAGACTTACCTCCACGTGGTGCACCCTGGGCAACGTATACTCATACGCCAAGTCTATTAATCGGCAGTTGACTTTTGACTACAAACAGCAATGCCCCCACTGTATGTCATGCTTCCACAGTACTCACCTCACCTTTTTTCTAATTTCTGACTTTAAACTACCATCACCCCACTGTATGTCATGTTCGACCCCTTCCACAGTACTCACCTCACCTTTTTCTCTACCATTGTACCTGTCTGTCGCTTTTACATCTGTGAATCACTCTTCCGTTCCCTCTCTCGACTTTTGTGACTTTGATGTTCCTCCTCCTCTCTGTGAAGCCCAAAGTCAACTAAAGGGCTAATGATAACCATTATAAAGCCTGTCATTTGATATAAATAAATAAATAAATTTCCTCAATACCGTCAAGGTAGGGTAGGTAATCACGGGAGCCATTGCAAACTAGGAATTCTTGCTTCACAGGTTACTGCGCATAAGGAGAGGTGTATTATTGTAGCATAGATGCCTCTAGTGGTCTTGATTCTATTCTATTCACATTGTGAGATGGATTTTCATATTTTATTTAAGCTCTATTGCCTTCCCATGAGCTGAGATAAAAGGCGTTTCAGGAAATAATTAATAAGGAGGCTTTATCATGTCCAATACTGCTGCCTTGTAGTCTTTCACTTAATTGCATCTTTAACTTGAAAAATTTAACTTTAATTGTTAAGGTCAAATTTATTGTAAAAAAAAATATTTCTAATTCAGTGCAATCGTATCTTACATGCCTTTGTTATCCATCCTATTGTTTTATAACCTCTGAGATCATTTTAGTTATTGCACAATGTCAGGAAGTACTTCTTTAATGATTCATGTAAATTTTAAAGAAGCTTACCCAAATCACTTCGATCAAAATTTACTTCATTGAGGTGTGCCCTTGGAATTTCAATTCCTCCCGTCTTGTTAACTATATCGCTATATCTCATTGAAACAATATTCATCTCTTTTCGACATTTGAGAGCAGCCTTAAAAAATTCTTCATTCTTATGAGACTGATATAAGGACTTGAGAAATTTCTGCAAAGCATGAGTAAATGACTTAGCTTAGTAAATTAATTGAATTATTATTATTATTATTATTATTAAGACATAAATGATATTATTGAGATATAAATAATATAAATTATTAAGATATAAATGGTTGGCATACTGGATCTCCGAGCATAGAAGCTAAGCATCGACTTAATTGAAACAGGAAACTCTGGCCTTTCGGCTTATGGGTTAATGCAAGGAATACAAATCGAGTTCCAATATCCACTTCCACTACTCCAGTTAACTTCGGAAGTGGATTTGCGACAACTTGTACTAAAAGATATAAATCTTTCTTCAGATATGGTACTTGACCGACCATTATGTTGCAGGCTTCACAGTTTTTCGGTAGACATCTTGTGAGGGTCTTATTTGTTACTTCTTTACCGTCCTCAGTCTGGAAAAATAAATGAAACAATAAATAGCAATTTAATTTCAATTTAATGGTAGGAAGAAAAGTTATTTGTTTAAATTACTCCAAAAACGCTTGAAACACGTCTTCGAAGAACTGAAAAAAATAGAAAGATGTTCATTTAGAGATATTTACTGAAATATTTAAAAATGTTGTTGATGATTAATCATGAGGTAAATAAAATACTTTCATAAAGTGGCATTAATACAGATATATTGGCCAAAGATTGTAATAATATTGACGAAACAAGTATTACACTACAAATACAAGATATATTTCATTTTGTAAGTGTCTGCGTTAAGACAAAATCAATCTGCTTCAACCAACCTGTCATCGGTCGATTCTGACTGAGAGAAATATCTGGATGCCATCGACTAGCAAGCAATATAGACTCCATTTTTTTAATTTGACGGTATGTTGTGATGTAATTCTTTAAATTCGCATGCATTACCATGTCGATGACCAAATTTTCATATTCGCATGCATCACTCTGTATCACCTCTAATTCTAAAAGGAAAGATTTATAGTAAGTGTTCATTTTACAGTAATTGGGGTGTGCGATAGACTTACCTTCACATGGTGCACCCTGGGCAACGTATATTCATACGGCAAAAAAGCCTATTAACTGGCAGTTGACTTCTCACTTCAAACTACCATCACCTCACTCTATGCCATATTCGACTACTTCCACAGTACTCATTTCACCTTTTTCTACCTTTGTGTTTGTCTCATACATCATTGAAACACTCTTCTGTTCCCCCCCTCGACTTTTTTTCAATTTGATGTTTCTTACCCTCTGTGAAGCCTGAAGTAAACTAAAGGGCTAATGATAACCATCAAGACGCCTGTCATTTGATATAAA